TGCTCCTATGAATTTAGATGCAGTCTGAAGAAACTGGACTTTCCTAGCAACAATGTACTATTATGAAACATTCCTGTTGTAATGTAAAGAATTTGGGGATGACTTGGTCTTTAATGGCTTGTTATGATCCATTAGACTTTGACAAAGAGCTTACTCCTGCTGGAAATTAAAACTAACAGGAATGGTCTGTGGTTATATGAATCAGAGTCATTTTCTTTGACATTTCCTTGGAGGCAAAACTATGAGAATGGTCATGATGAGCACCTGCACATAAAAAATGCCACTGAGCCAGTGACATGGCAGAGCTTAGAACTAATTGCTGGCAGGTAACATGTCATCTATAATATAAGACAAAATCAATAATGATTTTGACACCTGTGTTACTTTTAAACTGTATCCCTGATGATTTATGTGTTCCTAATGCTTTATCTGGCCATTAAATTAACAGAACTTTAAGTGTAAAACAACACTTTGGTAAGTTCCAATAACGCAGTGGATCTACTCTAATTCAAACTAACAATTGACATTTGCTCATAATTTCTGATGTTGATGATGCCAGATAGTAAATATATTTACCCTTTAAAAAACAATAGGTACCTTCCATGAAAATTGGCTTACCTACATATTCCATAAACAATTCATACGTAGGTTTTCCAGAGAACAAGAGCCTTTGAATACAGAGGGATGTGCTTCCAAGTGAACATTAGAATGGTACTTCAGCAGCGCTATTCTTACATATTTACTTAGCAACCAGCTGATCTATAATAGAAGTGCTACCTCCTACAAATATGTAAAAGATGTTAAGTTGATTTGTGTGAATTTTTGAAAAAGAGCTGCATTCCAATTTCTTCCTGACAGTTGTTTTCTAATAATTCTGAAGACCTCATCTCCTCAGGCAATTACTGCATGGAGTAAGGTTCAGGTTTCAAAACAATCATAGTAATGAAAATCTCCAAGCCCTGAAGATACACATCTGTTGCTGCAGTCTTAAAAGCTTCCCATAAACTGTGGCAAGGCACAAACGACACTAGAGGCCGCTGTTAATACATTTATCAGAAAGCATACAAGGGGGTGCTGATAAGTATTGAGCCTTACCCAGATAAAATCGAGCTAACAAGCTATAAATTGCAGGGTGTATTGGCCAATTTGTTTGTATTCAATGGTACGAAAACCAACTACGTATGATTTTAACTTAACTTTCATTTTCCGGTCCAAAGTGAACATGATGGCACCTCCAGAAAAGTTCAAAGTGGAAAAGCATAGGACCGTAATCAAGTTCCTGTTTCTCCAAGAGAAAGGTGCAAAACAGATCCATGATGAAATGTCACAAACTATGGGTGACAGTGGCCCTTCATATGCAACAGTTAAATGTTGGGTTGTCAATTTTAAAACTGGCCATTTCGGTGTTGAAAGTGAGAAATCTAGTGGAAGGCCTGTTTCTGTCTCTGTGCCTGCAAATGTGAAAACCATACATGACATGACATGGAGGACG